TCAGCAGTTACTTGGAGTGTGGAAGGAGCAGGGGTTGTAGGTTGAGTGTCAGTTTGCATTAAGTAATCTTGAATATTTTCAATAGTTTCTTCTGAGGAGTTGGTTGGGGAGTTGTGGGGGATAAAGGATTTCTTGTGAGGGGGGGAAGAGAGGACTGGTGTTTCAAGAGTAGGGGCAAAGGATGGTGGAGGTGATTGTGTGGTAGGGGAAGAGGGGGTGGAACGTTTGTTCTGTCTGTTACGGGGAGTGCGAGGAGGGAGTAGGGGAAGGTGTTTGGGGTTGTAGTGGTGATTGGAGTATCTGTAGTAGAGATTAGAGTTTCTGGATTTAGGATGGCAAAGAGTTAGACTGGGGAAGGTAGGAGGTAGAAGTGGGGGGGTTAGATGTAGGAGGGGTGGGTTTAGGAGAAGTGTTAGAATGAGCAGTATTACTGGAGTAAGGAGTAAGAGAGAATCCATGTCGACGTGCTTCCTGTCTGGCTTCACGCAGTGTGAGTCCAAGTTTGAATTTGAGAGTTGCTACCTCAGATTCAAATTTGTAGGTGGGACAGCCCCTATAAAATACATTATGGGGGCCGCCACAGTTGGCACATGTGCGTGATTGTGCAGAGCAGTTAGATCGGGTATGGCCAGGTTGGGCACATAATGGGCATCTGGCTGTGGAACGGCAGTGTTTGGCTGGGTGTCCTAGACGCCAACAATTTTGGCACTGACGTGGAGGAGGTTGGTATGGACGAACAGGGAGGGATTCTCCTCCTATGTAGACGTTAAAGGGAAGGTCCATGTCTACGGAAGGTAATTTTGGCTATGTTAGTGGGTTTCTTTCGATGACCTCTGGGGGGATTGAGTAGCATTGTACTGATGTTGCATCGTAGTCTGTGAGACAGGCAAGTAGATCTTCTCCACAATCTGACCAATCTTTGTCATAGATTGGGCAATTTGCTGGTGAGATTGAGACTGTTCCGGTGCAAGTATTGAGGGTTGGATGGGGTTCTGCTAGGATGGGGTTACCATTAGTGGTCAGTTAGTTTTGTTAGTGCTATGGCTTGGTTTTCGGATGTTACTGTTACAAGACGGGAGCGGTCGGGTCGGCTACGGAAAGAGACTTTACCTACTTGTTTTTGGAGGCATTGTTGGAAGAGAAGGGTGTTGTCAGAGTAGGGAGCTGTGGGAGGGATCACGAAAAATCGGTCCCATTTGGCTGCACTGAAGAGAGTATTCAAGATTGTTTTAGAGATAGGGGTGGTAGAAGGGCGAGGGCGTGACGAAGATGGAGTAGTGTTGATGGAGGTAGTGTTATGGAGAGGTGGGCTATAAGGCTGTAAGGTATTAATAAGGGAGGATGGGGTGGTTGATGTTGGAGGTTGTGGGGGTAGAGGTGTTGAAGTTTGGGCATGCTGGGAGAGTGGAAATGTTCCTTGAGGGTTGATTATTGGCTACTGTACTAGTAGGCATTGGTTGAAGGGGTAGTTATTGCAGTGTTCGGAGCCGTGGTCAAAGGAGAGCCTGGGTCGGGGAATCAGGTGGTTTACTTCGTTGGGGCTATTTGATAAAGGGGCAAGCCTCATTGCCCCTAATAGTGGAGATATATTTTCATTACTGGCCATGGGAAGCCTGGATTATGTTGGGGATAAAAACAGTCCACCCCTCAGGGTCCCCTTGAGGGGTAAGGGCTAGATAACTAAATCAGGGGAATACCGTGCCCATGGCTCCCTCAGGCCGTTCAGGACTGGCACAAAGTCAGCCTTTCATCCTTTCAGCACGGCTCTCACACCTTAGGAGGTGGATAGCAGAAGGGTTTGGTGAAGGGACAGAAACAAAAGTGGGAAGGGAAAAAAAAGACCATGCATAATTAGTTGAGTCGAGGGCTGAGTCCCAAGGTTGGGGAGTTCCCCATCATTGGGTCCCAGTCTCCGCCTCCTAAGCCCCCCCACGACAACAACGGGCAAGGGATTGGGGGGCATATATACACAATATATAAAAAATATATATACATACATACACACAATATATATAGAATATATACCTACTTACACACATATATAAAATATATACATATATAACACACACAATATATATAAAATATATGCATACATATATACATATATATTTTACATATATATTGTGTGTATGTATGTATATATGTATGTATATATTTTATATATAATGTGTGTATGTATATATATATTTTATATATAGTGTGTGTAAGTATATATTCTATATATAGTGTGTGTGTATGTAAGTATATATTCTATATATAGTGTGTGTGTATGTAAGTATATATTCTATATATAGTGTGTGTGTATGTAAGTATATATTCTATATATAGTGTGTGTATGTAAGTATATTTTATATATAGTGTGTGTGTATGTATGTGTATATTTTATATATATTGTGTGTGGTATGTATGTATGTTTTATCTATATTAGTGTGTATGTATGTATATATTTCATATATATTGTGTGTATGCATGTGTATATTTTATATATATTGTGTGTGTATGTATGTATATATTATATATATATATTGTGTGTATGTATGTATATATTTTATATATATTGTGTGTATGTATGTATATATTTTATATATATTGTGTGTATGTATGTATATATTTTATATATATTGTGTGTATGTATGTATATATTTTATATATATTTTTTGTGTATGTATGTATACATTTTATATATATTGTGTGTATGTATATATATATTTTATATATATTGTGTGTGTATGTATGTATATATTTTATATATATTGTGTGTGTATGTATGTATATATTTCATATATATTGTGTGTATGTATGTATGTATATATTTTATATATATTGTGTGTATGTATATATTTTATATATATTGTGTGTGCATGTATGTATATATTTTTCATATATGTGTATGTATGTATATATTTTATATATATAGTGTGTGTATGTATATATTTTATATATATTGTGTGTGTATGTATGTATATATTATATATATATATATTGTGTGTGTATGTATGTATATATTTTATATATATTGTGTGTGTATGTATGTATATCTTAATATATATAAGATATACATACATACACACACAATATATGTATATAATATATACATACATACACACAATATATGTGTGTGTATGTATATATTTTGTATATATTGTGTATATGTATGTATATTTTATATATATTGTGTGTGTATGTATGTGTATAATTTATATATATTGTTTGTGTTATGTATGTATATATTTTATGTGTGTGTGTATGTATGTATATATTATATATATATATATATTGGGTGTGTATGTATGTATATTATATATATATTGTGTGTGTATGTATATATTTTATATATAAAATATATATATACACACACAATATACATAAAATATATACATACATACATATATACACAATATATAAAAAATATATATACATACATACACACAATATATATATATATACGTACATACACACATATATAAAATATATACATACATAACACACAATATATATAAAATATATGCATACATAGATACATATATATTTTACATATATATTGTGTGTATGTATGTATATATGTATGTATATATTTTATATAGAGTGTGTGTGTATGTAAGCATATATTCTATATATATAGTGTGTATGTAAGTATATATTTTATATATAGTGTGTGTGTATGTAAGTATATATTTTATATATAGTGTGTGTGTATGTAAGTATATATTTTATATATAGTGTGTGTGTATGTAAGTATATATTTCATATATAGTGTGTGTGTATGTAAGTATATATTTCATATATAGTGTGTGTGTATGTAAGTATATATTTTATATATAGTGTGTGTGTATGTAAGTATATATTTTATATATAGTGTGTGTATATAAGTATATATTTTATATATAGTGTGTGTGTATGTAAGTATATATTTTATATATAGTGTGTGTGTATGTAAGTATATATTTTATATATAGTGTGTGTGTATGTAAGTATATATTTTATATATAGTGTGTGTATGTAAGTATATATATATATATATATATATATATATATATATATATATATATATCAATCATACCCATGGCTCCATTAGGTTGTTCAGGACAAAGGCCCTATTCAGACAGATAGTCAAATGTTAAGCAAATAACGTTTTAAACCAACGTTTAGAGGATGATTGGCAGGCACAAGCGTAGGCTGCCGCACAAAGTTTACAGGACAACCATGGTGACTACCTCACCACAGTGTTTGACACGGGTGTGCCCGGTGATAGACGATTGCTACTGGGGTGTTTGATCTAGTAAAACTGTTTATTAAGGGCGAAATATCCACTTACCAGCCATCATCCATTCAATTGGATGGGGCTGAACACAGCCAGCTTTTCATTTTTTTCAACCATGGTTATTACACCTAAGAGGATTGAAAGGGAAGAAAAAGCAAAGACTTTTCAAAATAAGTTGAGGGGGGGGGGGGCAATAATTCATCTTAAGAACTTGACATCTTGAAGAGTCACTATGTATTGGTAATGGAAAAAATGGGCAAAGCCCCTCTATTTGAAATGAAGAGTATATGTAGTCACCAAACTTTTGTAATTCAATATTGCTTGCTAAATGGAAAACTAGTGGGTTTCCAGAAATCTGTTCCCTTCTACAATGAGGGTTTCTCTTCTAGTCTTGCATGAATGTTCCACCACCTTTCCAACTTTAATTATTTTAACCAGATCTATCTTCCACAACCTGGGAACCCAACTGTTTTTTCAGTTGACTGTTTCAGCCATTGCCTGTTGCTTGCTTCTATGGAGTAATCATCCTTTGGAAAGTGAAAAATTAAGGTTCCCTAAATAAGGACTGATTTTCCAGTCTTTATTTAGGGAACCTTGCTTGCTTCAGTTAATATCTACTTAGCTAATAAAAACCAGGAAAAGTTAATTCATAGCAGACTTGAGTATCAAACTATTAAACAACAAATACTTTTGCTGTGGACACACACAAAGGAGAATAGAAACAACAAAAAATCAAGAAGGGAATTTATTAATCAAAGAGTCCGAAGCCCATGTCATCAATCTGATTCTTCCTCTGGCTCTTCAACCTTCTCTGGCTTCTTCTCTTCAGCTGCAGCTGCAGCAGGAGCAGCACCACCTGCAGCAGGGGCACCACCACCACCAGCAGGCATGGATCCAAGTTTCCCCATACCTAAAAATATTTGAAGATTAAAGAAACAATAAGATACCTTTGGTAAAAGATTTTACCCAAAATAAATGAATAAACTGAAACTGCAAATAAACACTGTACACACCTTCAGCAAATTACAGCCTTGAGGTCCTTCCCTTCGAGTTCAGATACAACTTTCTTGGCCTCATCAGCATCACAATCAACACCTACTGAGTCAAGGATCTTCTCAATATCCTTGGCCGAGGCAGTTTTGCCTCCAAGGGCAGCAAGACAGTAAGCAGCAACGTAACGCATTCTGGAAATTAAAGGATTTACACCTATTAAAGATAACAGTCATCCCATGTCTAATGTATTTGATAGATTCTAAAATATATTACTGAAAAAATTAGAAGTATTAATTCTTTAATCATATTCTCTGCCTGGACTTTTGAGTGCTGGGAGACAAAATATTTGGTTTAGTCTTGCAGAAAAGGATGCAGGTGTCTTGCAGCCTGCACATGGTCCAAATGTGAATTAGGCTTACCTGAGTAGCAATGGATATGTAGTATCATTGTTATGGTGAGCAAGAATAAGGTCTAGAGCATGGAAAATAAGTGTCCTCCCTTGAGTAGGTGCTCTTCCAGGCAAGATTTACAGATGGTACAATCGACTCTCTTACCAGTAAAAGTAATACAAGATACCCTTCCTAAATGCTCATTGAGTAATCTTTCAACAGTTTTGTGCATTTAGTGACTTCCATATCCCATCACTAGGCAACAATATCCCAATTTCTATCACCCTGGCCTTCAGCCAAATCTTTAGCCCAATTGCCGCCGGGTATGACGTGTATGTATGTGCTATGCCCACCGTGAGTACTTGTTTGAGTGTTTTTATGCATAGATGGCAACACTTGTACTAACTCCCCAATGAGCCAGTTACGAGTACTGCCCGTCTCGCCCGTTACCCTTTTCTTTGATTTACGAAATATTTTACACCTGAATTTCCTTGTGAAGTGAATGTCACATTGTCCTGGCCCAATGGGCAAATAACAGGCAATTTTTAATACTATATAGTAACAAAGCAAGTCAATATTCTGTCCTTAATACAAAAAACATGCTGAGCTTCTGTTTGCTGCAAGTTGCATCCTCCATCTGCTTTGGGTCATTTACCACAGGGTGGTGCCCTCTAGTTAGGCAGTTAGGTTAGTGTAGGGTTAGAAGTATTGTTTAACCCCTTGGTGCCGGGTGATGCCGATAGGCATGTAAACAAACCGCTCGAAAGCTGGTGTGCAGCCAAACGAGCCGGTGGCGCGCCAAAGCGCGGCGAGCCTTTGTTTGCTAGAGCGTACTTTTTTTTTTTTGTGTACACCTGGCATCATTGGGTTAATGACCAAGCAATAGGACATATTTGGACATTTCGACAACAGGGGTTCAGGGGTTGGAGCTACTTTACTATAGGCTGATGTGTTTGCCCTTGTAGTTTTCCAAAGTAGGTATGTTAATAATTTAACATTTAATCAATGATTTGGATGCACTAACCTAGGGCAAAATTGAAGACTTATTGTACAAGACAAAAAATAGGTTATTCAGATAAGAAAGGAGAAAGATCAAAGACCAACATTGCTCACAGCTTGGGTCACACAGCAATCCAACCCTGCCATTACTGATCCTGGTTTCAATTATTTACAGTGTAATGTGCGTCAACCTCTTGTGGTTTTCCATAACAATTGATGAAAATTGAAACCAGTAACACCAAATGCTGAAAAAAAGTGATTAGGAACCAAGCAATTCTGACCATAGATAGAAGTGCAGAAAAGTTCGGTTTTCGCTATATAAAGTTGTGTCGTTTAACCATGGGGATCCACTAGGGAATATATACCAGGGTGTTAGGATAGGTTGGATGTTTGGGTTTGGACATTTTCTTTAACAACTTGATATACTTCATGCCCTCCTCTGCTATTGGAATTATCAAATTAGATTGTCAATGGAGATGGTGATCATATCTCCTCAACGATTCATTTGCACAAGGAACAATGCCTAGAATTGTTGAAAGCACTGGATTTCATGCAGAAAAATATTAATTGTTTTGAAGGTAACCCACTACCCTCTTCTACATACTGACCGAAGGGGATCTCTTTTCTTTTACGTATAGCACCCTTGGGAAGCATTTGCACATACACTGCCATAGAAGAACTTTGTCTTGGTTTGTATTGTTCTATCATTTCATGTAGGTTTTATTACCAACTCTGTCACTACCTTATACTACATATTGACCTCAGATTCGTTCTAATCACACGAGAACAAATCTGATATAAATATTGTCAGGGAAGACCCAATTGTCATTCTTGGAAAATTAACCGAGTTACTTGTTTAATTGCTTTTACACATGGCTACACGCACTAAAACACTAATGAGCCAGTTACGAGTACTGCCTGTCTCGCCCGTTTACCCTTTTCTTTAATTTATGAAAATATTTAACATTATCCTATTTTGCTGTTACTAATGTTTATAATAAAAATAACCATTGATATTCATAGCACTAACAAAATATACATTTTCCCTTCATTCAAGTAAGGTGAAATCAGGTACGGCATAGCCATCTACGTGTAGAGACATTTCACAAAAAATAAAGGAGCACAGCTTTTTCGCCTCCTTTTTTTTTGTAATTTCCACCCCCAAAAGGTAATTGAAAATTGTCAAGGCTCCATTGTTTATACCCATAATAGGATAAAATGACGTGTTACTGCGATCCGTCAAGTAGTTATGTAATATACACACTTGTGAGAATGATTTTGTAATTCCCAATTGGCTGTTATAGTTCAATTAATCTTACTTGATACATTTTCATGTATTAAAAAGGAAATGATCTCAAGATGGATATCACGAGAATAATATATGGTATAAATCTTGTTCGGCAGAATCCATAGTCATAATCAAAAATTTTATTTTTCTTACTTAGTGGGTGTCTCAATCCTAAAATTTAACCATAAATTAGATAACTGACAATCTTCTACAAGCATTAGTAGTAGAGTACTAACAGGTCCAGCTGCCCGTCTCAATTACTGTGAAACAATGAAAATATCTGCACGCCTATTGGCAGGAACCGCCACTCACGCGAACGTCGTGAAGCGGCTTGTACAGCACGGCCCGCGGTGATTTCGCTTGAGTGTACCCCTCGCGCTGCCAGGAGATGGACCGAGATGTTTTTTTTTTTTTTAGTTTGCATTAACCCTCACCAGAGGTTAGGGCCCCATGCCTAGGGAAAGATAGAAGATAGGGTAAAAATTTTGTTTCCACAGCCAAGCAGTACGGTACTAGTTACCTTTAATGGACAGAGGGCTGAAAAAAGACTTCATCTATGATATTCCTAGCCAGTGATAATAAGTTGTGCAACATGTCATACTTTGTAATAACATTTACAGAAAAAGGTAATGCGACTATAATAACAAGAATAAACTCATCAAACATTCTTAACCTGGGTCTGAAACTGTGTCAAAACTTTAAAGAAAACAGTTGCCATACGCCATGAGGCTATCTACACAACTGGGTGGGTCCAGGGGGCAAGCCCCAAATAGGGGGGAAGTACGGTGATCAGATGGTGTTCTAGGATGTCAGTGATGTTTTGGTTTGCAGAAATGGTAGAGTAAAGGGCTTATCTCGAGGGTACGGCACTCCATAAACATTCAGTACTTTTATTATATCATAGCAATGGGAAAGAAGAGTTTCATGCATATTAAAGTGTGTAATGGAAAAGAGGATAAAAAATGTAGATTGAATGGCGGTGTGAAACTAAAAAATTCTGAAGTTTGGATTTTTGGTTCACCTGATACCCTTGCTTTGGACTCATCTCTGAGGTTTATTTCTCGCCAGGACAAATGGCCGAGGTAAATAGGAGGTCGAGCAGCTGTACCCATTTTGGTATTTGTCCACTACAGGGATGAACTTCCTAAACTTTGAGGTCTCTAGCATGCTGTGCCTTTCTTTATTACTCCTCCGGTTCTGATGCTCTTTCAAAGCAGTTCCCCCTATCTGTGCGTCGGTAACATTACTTCATATTTACTCTGTTCTCATGCCACAGGAAACCGTGTGCTGCACAGGACGGCTTAAACCTGAGTTATAGTCTAAGTAACGACATTCGCCGGATTTAAATGTTCAAATATCGGGTGGAGATAGTTCCATTTACACACGCCAATTTACAAGCATCACTACGTCCCGCGACAGTATAACATGCTAAGTCCAAAAGCCACTCTCCTGTCAATTTCCTAAAAAGAAAATAACATGGGCAAATCCTGAACACCAAACAAACCTCACACATCCCACGTGTTTATGTTGACAATGTAACACTTTACTTCCCCCAATTGTCTTTTAACAGCCGTATTAATACGTTACCACCTAACAACAATAAGACGAAAACAACTGTCTTTATATGGCAATTTTCTTACCTAAACGAGGCCGAAGTACTCACATTTAGGCCTTGAGTCACGAACGTGTCCCGCTCCACACGAATAAATCTCACGAAACCGAATGTAGTCCCCTCCGGGCCCGCTGCCCCCTCCGCCCGCGCATGTTCTTTTTTGCTTTTTAGTTTTCGGGGGCAACTTGGTCAAGGAGATCCCCAAGCTTAGGCTGCGTTGTGGCTGGGTTTTAGAGTGCTGATAGGAAATTATGCTTTTGAAAGGATACGTTTTCCTGTTCTTGAACCACAGAATTAAATATACAGACTCTGACTCGCCCACTTGGGGAACTCGAAGGTCTTTGTGACATCAGAACTTCAGTACTTTCATAACTTATAATCCTATTGGTTTAAAGGAACCAGACCACACCCTGTACCCCCTGAGGACCCGCTTCCACCAATCAGATTAGTATTTCCCAATGCCATGATTTGATTGGCCCAAGTCGACTCATCTCCAAGGCAAGGCGACTTTTCCATAGTGACCGATGCAAAAAAAACCTTCTCCCTCACTTCTCTGCTGAAGAACTTCGTCAGAGAGAGAAGGTCAATTTCTTCGTACTATCTCGGGAGTAGTTCGTGCTGCATTGCCGTCACAGGTAAGAACAACTGACTTGCTTTCATTGTCATGATTGTGTGTGTTTGGTCCCCATGTCAGCCAAATAGGTATTTGGGACACACGGACTTCGTTCAATTCCTCGTGTGATGTATTACGTGTTATTTCATGTGTTTCTGTTGATTAAGGAGTGTTCAGAATACGTGATCATTAAAATTCAGATTGATATGTGAACCCCGTTCAGATTTGTGTTGTCATTATTCAAAATGTTGCAAATTTCCCCTCGCCAACGTTAATTGGTATTTGAATTTCCGATTTCTTAGCTTCTGTAGATATCAGGGAGTAACTTGAATTTTATAAGTTTTTTATAGAAAAGATTTATTGAGATAAATATCCACAGGCAAATCACAGTTTGAATATCCGGAAATGTGAATGACAGTAAAATTAAAGATCACGTATTTATGTTACGCATTGATAAACCGCACCTTACTGCAGACATTTATTCCAGGATTAGATTGCATACTGTTTTATTAATTTATTTATTTGTTTGTCTGTTACTTAGAATGCAACTATTTCAGTTTTCATGTTATTCAACAACCACAACGACACAACTCATCTGGCAACTCTTACTCTACACTGCACTGTTGAAGTAATGACAATAGTTTTAGAAAGTACGGTCCGGATGGATTCATGTGGACATGGTGAGCTCACATTATTCATAGTGTTTTCAGATATTTTAGAACTATCATATTAGGAGTTGTCTTCCTTTAAAATAGAAACTTCACAAACTAATATGATCAAAGGGGACAATAGCATATATGATATATTTTATATACGTTGATGATAGAATATAATTATATAAAATGTTATATGTTGGACTGCTGCCCTCTGTGTTTTTGCATTGCCTTGCTTGACGGTTGAGGATCGTTTTCTATATTGTGCGTCATAAGTTTCTATATTTTGTGTTATTATTATTTACATATTTGCAATTTGAAATGTCTCAAAAGATTGTGAACTTTACTTTTTTACACTTGTTTTATTTTTGCCAATGTAAATACACGTACTGGTTATTGATAAAGTTGTAGCCCAACTCTTGAAGCAGAGAGTGCGTGTGATGGAGATATGATACGCATTTTATCCTTCGCTCTAATACGTTTCCCTTATTTAAGGGTGGTCACGTTCTACATACTGCGTTTATAATCCACGTCTTTCGGTCTTGTGCCACCTGTTCTTCTATATTCCTTTTCCATTCAGGTCGCGCCATCACCATCCAGCCACCTCTTTCGGTGTCTTACCGCTGCTCTGCTTTCCGGGATAGGCAGATCCATCCTTTCCGTATGCCTTCTTTTCACATGGCCCGAACCAGGTGAGTCGTGTCTCTTTATCTTGCTACTACTGCTTGTGACGCCTGCCTTCAGCTAACCACCTCTTCTTTGGTTCTCTTACACTTGATTCCCAACATCCACCTCAGCATTCAAATTCTCATTATCCCATATTCTCTGCAATTAGGCTCTCTTCTTTCTTTCTCAAGGCCTAATTTCTGCTCTGTACAATATCATGTCTAATCACAGTTTTTGTAGCATTTTCGACTTCAGCCTTGGCTGGTAACTTTTTGTCACAACATCCGGGCAGAAACCTCTCGCCTATTGCCCCGCTGCCTTCACACGTTCCTTGCACTGCTCTCTCACATCCTCCTTCACTTGCCATCAGCTGCTGAGATACTTGACCTCATCAACTTGGCCGTACAAACTTTGCGCACTCTCCCTTTTTATGTTTATCCTGCTTCTTGCTCCTTTTCTGCTTCTCATGACGTAGTTTTCTTCTGTTCACTTTGTATCCCTCAACCTTCGAGTGCCCTTTTCCGCTTCCTGAGCTGTGCTTCCAAGTTCTTTTCACTCGTTGCTGAAATGACCATCGTTCGAACTTTCCCAGAAGCAATCCTCCTCCACACTCCTCGCGTCACCACATCGATAACCATCGATGAACAGTAGTGACTCAGCTTGATCCTTGCGTGAAGCCGAATTCATTTAAATTCTTGCCGATGTTCCCTGTTGGTCTTCGGACTCATTGTGGTTACACTCTCGTATTATCTCTTCACGATGTTATGCGTACTCTGGAACTCCTTTCGTCCATAGATACCATAGACCAGCTCTCTGGGCACCCTAAGCATATGCCCAGTTATCACTGCTCAGGGATAACGTATCCCTTTTGTACCTTTGACCACATTTCACATTCAGGAGCAATGATTTGGCTCGTGTCCATGGAACTACCCAGTTTGTAATTCCTTGCTCTAGATAACTTCCTATGCAATTGTCACTCATCAGCAGGCTATAGAGAGACGAGATGAGAGGATAGGAGAGAGAGAGAGAGAGAGAGAGAGAGAGAGAGAGAGAGGAGAGAGAGAGAGAGTGAGGAGACATGTTAGGCAAAACTTTACTCTTGCAGTGAAGATTTTATTTTTTCATTATAGAGCCAGGATTCTACATAATGAACCTTTACAGTGTACGTCTTGACACCCTTACTTATCATTTCTCTTTTTGATGTTTTCATTATCTGAACATTTTCTGATGTTATAACTCGATAGGTAATTTCTTAACAAGCTACTAAGAATTCTCCAAAGACTCCAGTAGGAAATCCAGTTTCATGAGCAGAGCGATTTGTGCCCATCAGCCTTTGACCTAGGGATGCAATGTACCAGTTTCACCGTGTCCAATGTGATATAGTTTATCAATATTGTTTACGATAGCCAAAAAGGCGAAAATGCCCATACTAGTACTGTCAATGTCACACTATTTCATACCGTTTTTTCCCTTGAATTTTAGGAGAGATTTTATATATACTAAGATATCTAGATAATAGATATTATTAATATTAAGATATAGATATTAGATATAGATATATAGATATAGATATATAGCTATAGATATATAGATATAGATATATATAGATAGATATATAGCTATATATATCTCTCTAGATATTAGACCTTATTATAGATCTATAGATATATCAGATTATAGATATATATATCATATGATATATAGATATAGATAATCTATATAGATTATATATATATGTTTATATAGTATATTATATAGATATATATATATAGATCTATATATATATAGATATATCTCTATTTATAGATATATATAATATATAGTATATATATACTATAGATTTAGTAGATATATAGAGATATAGATAGATATATAGATATATAGATATATAATATATATAGATATATATAGATATAGTAGATATCTATAGAGATATATAGATATATATAGATATATATATATATACATATATATATTATCTATATATATATAATATATCAATATATATATATAATATATATTATAATATATAGATATATAATATATATCTATATACATCATATATCTATATATATATATACATATATTATATATATATATATATGTATGACTATATATATATATATAGATATATTCTACATATGTAATATTTATTATATATCCATTGTATTATATATAGATACATAGTTATATCATATATATTACATATGTCTATACTATACATATACATATTATAATACATCTACATCTACCTAGTATATACATAGCCCTATCCATATTTATATACATAACATATCATATGTATACTACA